AATTTGATATAAGTTTATTTTAAGATATAAAATGAGTTAAAATCTTGTCGATTGTAACTTTTTTTAAATAAATTCAAATAAAATGTAACAAATTTCTCTTTGTGCATGTATCTAACAACTTCCATCTCAATCTGAAATTGTTTGTCTACTTGTGTTTTGCACAATTTTTGTGCATTTTGTAGCAGCTAACACAATTTGTGTGTGCCTGATCTTATGATAGCCCTGTCTACGTTTCCATCTACGTTAGTCAGCCATGTGTGCCCCGCATCCTGGATCCTCATCAGTTGTGCCCTGCCCCCTTCATATATCCACCTATATAGCAAGCCGCCTGCTGCCACTAACTACAAGCTGACTGTCGCTATAATTTTCCAAAAGGATTTACAATGCTAAAATTACTTCCTAAGCCATCCGACCATGTCGTCGTCGTCGTCGTCGTTTCGTATGAAGAGCTCCAGCTAGAGCAGGGTGGAAATGGGACGAAGTAACAGGAGGAGGACCTTCAGGATGCCGGGCTGAAAAGTCGGCAAATGGCAAAACTCGCGAGGCTTTTCGTCTTTTTCTCCAGTTCTCAACTAAGCGCAAATCCGCGATGAAACCGCTTGGCGATGACAATGTGAGTCACACACGAATTGGTATACTTGAGTAATATATTTTTATATGACCTAATATTTGAAACTGCAAGCAGATTAATCTCCAAGCACACACGCAACCACGGTATAATTCCCAATGGGTTCTAGTACTTATAGGCAGGGCATTTTGAAGGTGGACAGACCCATTAAAAACGATATAATAAACAATATTTCAAAGAAAAGATGTAGTTTATATTTTTGAAGAATTATTCTTATTTTTTTTATTTATTTATTATTTATTTATTTATTTTTCGTTAACAAAAAACAATCGTTTGAAATGGGTTTCAACTCCGAAATCACGATCGCCTCACGAGCTCTTCACCAATTCCCCTGTTTTGAGAGGACCAGTTTGTTTTTCGCTTTTGCCCAACATGCCAATGTCCTGGTTCCTGGGCCTTTTTTTCACCCATCTTTCTCTTTGGCGAACTTTACTTTTTCTTTCCACTCTTTTCTTTTTTTGGGCATCTTGTCATCCTTAGGCTTTTGGCGTTGTTTAACTTTCGCCAGACGCCCACATGAAATGTCAGATGTTGTCGCCGCCCCAAACTCTTCTGTTGCCCTTTGGTCCACCCTATTTTCTCCTATTCCTAGACCTAATGTCCCCCCTGATTTTCCCCAGAGGGCCAAAAAAAAAAAAAAAAGAAAGGATGGCGTTCTCTAAGTCATTCTGTCGTTGCCTTTTTGAACTTTAATATACTGCAACATTCATGTGTTTGCGAAGGCGACACCCTGCATATGGATGTCTTTTTCACTGCATATAGCTGCCTCTGGCGCTATCTCTCTCTAGCAATCCGTCTCTTTCTAACTCTTTTGGATGACTTGGACGCCTCTCCCTCTCTTGCAGGTACTATCTGCTAAAGACACAGGACAACTCAACTTTAGAAAAGGCGTTGATGTAAGCATTCCAACACAAATATAGAGTGAGAAGGATATAGACGGTGTGAATGAGAGGGGTATGGGCTGTGCGAAAGAGAGGGGCATTAGATCGAGGTTTTGAATAGTAATTCCATTTATAATTTACTGTCGTCGATTTATAAATGAGCCTTAGCTATCAGAACTTGAGCTCCTACCTTTGCCGATGTCCTTGTTCCTGTTTCCCTCCCAATCGCCCCTCTCTCTCTTTTCACCATCCTTAATAGACTCCCCTTTTGCCTCGGTCCCTTCATACATATCCGTAGATTCCGGAGACCAAGAGAAAAGCTGCCAAGTGCTTAACATAATTTTAGGCGCATTTGTGGCATTAACATGGTGGCATTTGCGTATGAGAGCAAACCAGTCCGTGTTGAGTTAAATACACTAATAAAAAGTTGTATTATTTCTCTATAATAGGTGTGTTTAATTGGGCAACTAACAGTAATTAAAATACTAATCCATTAACATTTTCTTTTTCGAAATATATATAGTTTAAGAAGCTTTTATATTTTTTGCAGCTTTTTGTTATTTATATATATTTAAATCGTTAATAAATTTACTTAGTTTTAAAAATATACAAACTATTGTGTTAATCTTAAATCTTAAACACTGAAACATTAAATGGGTAATTAATATATAATTATTATAAAGGGATCCTTCTTAAAATGTGCTATTGGAAACATTCATTAAAATTCTAAGTGCAGTCGCATTAGAGGCCACAGGTGTGGCCTGCACCGGAAGCTCTTAAGCTGACCCGAAGTCTGGCATTTGTACTGGCCGTAAACGGGAAGAGAAACCCGCATATATGTATATGTATGCATTTGTACACCACACCATATATACCCGTATACGGGACTAATCGGGCCACACGACACATGCTGCACACTTATTAGAATTTCATAAAGTGCCGCATGCTGTGGAAGCCACAATGCCATGCTAAAATCTCAGATTTATAAATAAAGTTATAAACTGGTCATCCCATGGTCATGTGAGTTCTTAAGAAATCGCCGACCATCAGGGATATTTTATTAGCTGATTTTTGACAAAGAAAAATTGTTTAGTATAGAGAAAGATGATTTAAATATCAAGTCCTGCAATTTTGAAATCCGAATTGAAGACAATACCATGGCCGATCGCAAAAAAATTTCTTCACGTTAATTCTTAAGAAATCACGTTCAATCGAGGTTAATTTTTAATGCCATTTAAAAAATTATTTAAATTGTACCTTATTTATTGAGTTGTTTTACCAGTTTAATTAATGCAATCCGTTATACAGATATTCCACACGAGTACTTTATTTAGCATATGCACAATGCTTTGTGTAATTTGTTATGTGGCAGTCGACACGAAAAAGACGACAACTCAACCCTAAAGTCCCAGTCCCACTTCCAAACTTATAAAATTATGATACCCCGAAAGCAACAAATTTTAATTGCAAGAAAATTTACGTAATTCACGAACACACAGACGGAAAATGTGTGGGATTTTCCTGGGTGTGAAGGGAATACGAAGGGAAGATCGAGATGAACGAACCACATGCATGGCGTAAAATTATCGTAGATACAAATGTGGCACAAGACCCGGGCTCCACTGTACCCAGCGCACCGCAGTAAGCCAAGACAAACGCTCTAAAACTCGCCAAAGTTTTTGGGGGCTATGCAACTGTAACTGTGTAACTTTCTCGACTCGCCTGTCTGTCTTCTAAATACCCTGGAATTGAAGAAGCCAAGGGTATACCCAGTTATTAATTGATTCCATTTTAAATGAAATATTCTGAAAACAAAAATAAACGTTTTTTGAGTCTGTAAAATCATAATATTAATTAATTAAGCAAGTCCCTTAAAGTATGCAGAGAAGGATACGTTTTTAAGACTCACTTTGAAACAATTAAACCTTTTTCTTATATAACCACAAAACAAAATAAAACAAAGTTCTTAATATTTAAAGCGAATTAGTTTGTTAAGAATTTTAGGGATTAATATGGAAAATGTGGTTAGGTTAAAAATAAACATTTGCTTGCTATATTTTACAATATAAACAATATTTAATTTTCAAACATTAAACAAAAAGGGAAATTTTAAAAATGTTAAGTTAAAGAGAATTTTGTGGTCGAAACATGTTTTGTATCTTTCGCTACCTTTTGCCAACAGTGTGTGTGTGTGTGTATGCCTAGCATTATAAATTTATTTAGCAAAAGCGCGTAAAGCGCATAAATTGCTGAGCGCAAGCTGCTCAAGGGCTGGCTGTCTTTTGTCCTTCGTCCTTCGTGCTGGAAAAGCGGAAAAGAAGGATGAATCTAGCGGGAAACCCAAGGAGCGCAATTCCCATGAATGCAAGCGTTCTAATGTGTGTGTTTGTGTGAAAAATTGAAATTTATTGTTATTGTAAGCTTCGTGCAAAAATGTGGGTCGAACTGGGGGGTGGAGGTTAAGGTGGCCAGGGGTTGGCCATGGGGTGGCCATAAGGGTTAAGGCGGTGGTTGCACCTTTTGCTGTTCGCTGTTTGCTGTCGGAATCACTCGCCGACAAAATAATAATGTAATAATAATTTTTCCAACTCGTTAACACATGAAAACGTGTGTGTTCCTCATACGCACATTCTACGCAGAAATATACAAGGACACACACAACCACACAAGTTGTCCGGAGAAAAAGGCATCGGGGAATCCCCCCTGAATAAAATTAATGATGCGCAACTGTGGTTGTTTGTACACACAAAAAGAATACAGGTAAATCAGATTGTACCCTCTTGCTAAACAATTTTTCCTCGGGCAACTAAAATACTTATAACAATTTAAAAAATAATATATATAAAAAGGTTGAAAATGATAAAAATAAGTGATGATGATAAAATACTTTTAATGTTATTAAAAATTTTAGTATCCTAAATTAGTTATTTCAAGGCACAGTCCAGTTCTTGGACCCCTAAAGTTAAACTTCTCCACCTTAATCTGCGAGATTTCCACCCATCGCGCTGCACCTGGTTCCATTCAATATGGTTTTTAGTCAGACAAAACACAAGAAATCCATTTGTGAAACGAGGTCATTGGGAAGGAGGCGATGCCGGGACCACAGCACAAATAATTGAAATCAATTCATCGGTATAAATTGCTTTAATTAAACGAGCGGAAGCAACAAAAGGCGAGGAGATGAAAAACGCTTAGCACAGCTGTCTCTTGGCTGAAATATTATGACAGTTATAAAGGGAATTTTCATTTGGAAATATTCCCTGAATCTTTTCCTGAATTATGTCATTATATATTTTCTTTAATTTTCACAACTTTGAAAAATGATATATAATTTTTTAGACTAGAAACTGCTTTAAGTCGTATAACTCACTTCAATAAAACACCTAATTATTCATTTCGATAGATTTTTGTCTAAAAAAAAGTTTTCACAATCAAAAAAGTATTTAAACCACCTTTTTTGAAAGAAATTCTAAGTACATTAAGCATCACACTCCCTTGTATAGAAATCTCTTAGAGACTGCCATTTATTAGTTGAGTTGTCGATCTCAATAACATTCTTAAATATATTCTTGAAAAAGTGATATCAATTCCTGGATGAAATTTTGCCACATTGTTAATTGATATTTAACATATGTAACTCCAAATAATAATGAAATACTAAAATTTAAAAGGGACGGATGGGGCACTAGAGTTTCTTTTCGAGTTGATGGATTAGTCGATCGGTTTGCTGCACAAAGGATTCCAAGGGTAGCACCTGATCCTCGGTAGGTATTATTTCATCTTCTTCTTCGGGTTGGGGACTCCCAGTTTCCTCCGCGACCAGCTGCCTTTCCTCGCAAATGCGTTGCAACTGACTCAAATAGCTTTCGTTCTCATTTTCATTATCATTATCATTATCACTATCATTATCACTATCATTATCAGTATCATTATCACTATCATTATAACTATTTTGGTCTCGCGATTCAATATCAACTAACGAGCTTCGATTTGAGGGACTTGAGGGCCAAAGTGGCATTGCTATAAATTCCTCGCTTGTATCGCTCAGTACTTCCGCATCAGATTCCGACGACACATCTGACTCATTATACCAAATCATATTGAAGCGTTCCACACAATCGGCTCGTCTGGTTAAGTCGAATTCCTGAGACATCAGTGAATCGATTTGCTCCTGTATACGTGCCATTGCCCTCAAGTGATCTTCCCTTGATTGCTCTCGGTTCACTGGACTGAAATGCTCTGGTTCTTTAGCTTGCTCCTCCTCCTTTTTCTCCTCCTCCTCAGAAACCTCCTCGATGGTCTCCAGACGGTCAACTGGTCGACTAAAGGGCCTAAAACCCAGTAGACGATACCAGGTCCTTTGAGCCCTCTGCAATACATAATGATGGCCAAAAGGATACGCTTCGTTGAATAGCCAATTTCGCGATATAACCAATTCCAAGCAAGGATTAAGTATCATCTGTCCCATATGCACCATATTATTGACATTGTTAATCGTCTTCTTAAATTGCGTATAGACACAAAAACGTGCCTCAATGCGATCGATGGAATCATTGCTTTTCAAAGCAATCATTGCTTTTAAAATCACAACTGGCCGTAGAGTGACCCTCAAGCACACTTTAAATTCTGGCATAAGCATGGATCTGTCATGGCGAACAATGATAAATAGTAGCTGCACCTCGATATTAACAACCAAAGCATTTAGCCCCAATATCATCGATATGATGGGCATTTTCAGATATTTAGTTGCCCCAAATACAGCCAGAAAAAATAGCATCAGCTTGTTTAGCAAGTATAATATCATCCATCGAAAACCCACGGTAGTAAGTTCAGAGCCCTCGCGAAAAACATTCACCTAGATAGAAAGAATTGATATTATTCACAATGCATTAATACATGTTTTCTTTAATTATTATTAATATGTTTTATTTAATTTTTGTGTACTGCATTTTTTTTTTTCATGAGGCTAATCTTTTCCATATTCAACGGAACATTTCATTATAAAATGTTACCCATTTCTTATTGATCATTGGTTTTGCTAGATATTTATGTTTGGTATTTTCAAAACTCACCGGAAAAATTTGGCGAACAAAATATTGGCAACACAATTGACAAATTGAGGGAAGACACCAAGCAGTGACCTTGCCCTTCCAAATTTGTATTGAAGCTTCCAGATTTTCCTTCCTTGTGATACTGTTATCGTCTATATAGAGAATCGGACGATTTATAGCCCATTCCAATTGGAGTTGACGTTGCTGACATTCCAAAACACTCGGGTACAGCAAGCTTTCGATTATCTCAACTATTATTTGCACCGGATTGAATTCCTGATCGGATCCACCGTTATTGCGGTTTGTATCGTCCCCCATCACAAGACTTTTTAAAGCTATAAAAACTGACAAAAATAAAAATATCAACAACGCACGTGAGAAAAAATTGTAAATCATGTTGTATTGTAGCTGTATACATATTTTTTTCTCCGAAAGAGTTGCACTGATGTTCAAGTGAACAGAATTGATTCTATTTACACGGCGCCGCAAGAATTTCAATTATTTCTCAAGGGCAATTAATATCCGGTTTTTAAAAACATACGCCTCGGGGCCTTGCGGAATTGGCTTTGTTTATTCGATTACGAAAGAGATTGCACTTACCAAATCACACGTGTTACGCAACGTCTGCGATAAAATGTATGCAAATAAAAAAATAATATTCTAAAAATTTTAAAGAAATCTGTCTGCTAAAAATAATTTAGTTTGAACTGTATTGGGTTACGTTATGAAGTGAGTAAACTCCAAAAGGTTAACTATAAACGCATAGAGTGCTCGGTTATGGTTTTTTCTTGGGTAAACATAGCATTCTTTGATGCTAAATTATTGAAACTACATATTTTGCAGAGTATTTTTTAATTAAACTATCGAACACACAACAATTTTAATATTTAAGAATAATAAAACCTTTTAAATTAGATATCTATGTATATACAAAATATAAGATATATATTTATAACACTTATTGTGTATATATGTATATTTGAATGCATTAACATATTTTTTTTATTTTGTATGTATATTTTGTTGACCAAATTTCAAAGCTGTATCAAAATTAAATAAACCGAAACAGATCCCGCGAAAAATTCACGATGCCCCGAGGGCAAATCTGAATTTTCTGACTATTCATCACTGTGCGTGATGGCACTTGGTGATTGATTTTGGCCATTCCAACCCCAGATTAACCGCATCAAATTCAATCACTCCTGCTGAGCATATTTTTGGGCTAGCTAATGGAATTTCAACACAAATTAGTTGTATTGCTTAAATGCCATTTCGTAATTTGGTAATGCCAAGTTCCGGGGAACAGGACGAAAAAGTCGGTGTTGACCTGCGGCGTTTTTGGTAATTACAGCAGAGCCCGCAAGCCCACCGCAAAAGCAATTTCTTTGGGCAGGACATCCAAGGATGTTTGCTTAACCTGATCTCCTGCTCTTTATCCCCTTCCCCTCCCCCTCCGTCATATTCAATACTTTTCTTGTGCTTCTTGGCCAATAAAATCAAATAAACAGGGCAACAAGTGCTGCTTTTCAGCTTCTGCCAGGGTTGTCATCTCTTCCACGAAATGAAATCATTTAACCCCGGGGCCAGCTCGATACGAAAACCGAAAAACGGAACGAATAAAAAGTGAAATAATATTGAACATGATTTATGCCATTTCGCTTTGAGCTTAAGAAAAATATTTGGCGGGTTGAAAAAGCGAAAAACCCCAGGCAAAATAAAAAGGGGTCGTAGGGTTGTGTGTCTGGGCAAAAAAGAAGGAAATAAAATATTAAAGAAGGGGCACAGAAGCAAGAAATCAGACATAGAATGCTTATAATGTGGGAGAATATAATTGGTTTTTTTTTTTTGGAAGAAGCATATATAGATTTTAAATAAAATGACAGAATAGGTTTAAGGGTCTATAAAAGCTAAAAGATATGTGTAAAATAGTGAGCATGGGAAATATTTAAAGCCTTTTACTATTTGCCAAAAGACAATTGAAAAATTATGCTAATTCTTCGGCATTGTTTTTCTTGTTGTTCCATTATTCTTCTTCTCGTGGGAAAGGGCAGGCAGGCAGGCAGGCAACCATAACCAAAAGTTCCAGAAGTCTAATAGAACCGGGGAGCCAAAAGAAGCAATATGGAAAAATCTCGTAAACCCAATGGGTTTTCGTTGCATTCCGGCACGTTGGCAATTTATTTGCTCCTGGTCCGTGCTCTGTTTGCCCCTTTTTTTTCGCCGCCTGCAGTGGGCGTGGCCAACTATTTAAAAACACACACACAATAGAAGGGGCTTTACGGGATAGGATGGGGGCAGGAGGTTTTCATTCGTGATTAATGCCCGTCGTGGGCTTCTGTGCCTTCGTGTGCAAATTTCGTGTAATCTACTTTAAAGCCCGGCTTTTGCATAATTTTAGGCAGGAGACCTGGTCGGCACTTTGGCCCATGCCACCTCGATTAGCTGGCCAAAAAGGAGCAGCAGGACGAGGAGAAGGACTTCCTATTGCAGAAGATAAAGCAGCAATTCGGGATTGAGACGAGCAGGTGGTTCAAAGTGGGTTACACGGTGGGTTAAGGGCTGCGGCTGCTATGGAGTGTTATTAAAATCATTTTTGACAGCACATTTGTCTTGGTCCTTCCAGCCGGATCAAGTTGGAATTTGACCAGGGTGGCTCAAGGTTAAGTTGGGATAGGTTCAATTGGGCTTGCTTTAGTTGGGAGCAAGAAGACAAAGTGTCAAGGGTCAGTCACATTTTTAAGCCAGAACAATTACGGCTTACAGGACACCATTTTAAAATAAAAAAACTAAAATTCACAAAATTAAGAAACATAAGGGATAAAAACTTCTATAATACACGTTTAAACTTTAAGAATTATAACTAGTAATTTTCAATTATAAAAATACAAAAAATACTTGTATATTTAAAAAATATAATAAAAATATTTAATACAATTTTTAAAAAATAAAAACAATTTTAAATTTATTTAGCTTTTAGGAATATTTATTTGCTGAATGTAAGAAAAAATCTTAAAGCCAAAAATAAAATATAAGTTATTTAAAATATTCTCCTATAAATTGCAAGGTATGTCCAGACTCTTAAAAAAAAGGAATCAATTTAAAATTCATTGATATTTGTTATCCTCTTGTTGTTTATATTATGCATACTTAAGTACCTTTTTGATGGAGATTGCTTGGGCAGACAAAAGTGGCACCACAAAAGCTGGTTAAGCTTAAACTTTGTTTTCGACTTTAAGCTGTACTGCTCTTAAAATTGAATCATGGTCGGTTTAACTGCCACTTCGATGGGATGGATTGAAAAAGATTCCAAAAACGTTTGGACGTTGCCGGGCATGAGCATAAAATTGTCAGGCAGCCACATAAACATCGGCAATATGGTGACCTGCGGTTAGGGGGTGTGGGCATTTTCCAAAAACGGGGAGTTGGTGGGTGGAAAAGCCTGTGCCTGATGTCCTTGTCGTGTCGTGTTCCGCGGTTTCCCTTTAGTGGTCGTAAACAATTTTTACTGCCCAAACATTTGGCCGCGCTTTACGCTTTACGCTGTGCCATTTGCTTATTTTTATTTATATTTTTATATTTATTGTGTTTATATATTTAAAACAAAATGGCGCACACCATTTCAAACGACGCTTAGCTCCATTCCAAGGCCACTCAACTCCCCACACCAAATCAAAAAACAAAAAAACACTAAGAGAAGGATGTTCTAATTTAGAAAATGAAACCTTTTTTTTCCATTAAATTACAATTTTGAAATAACAGAATTATGTACTTTCAATAAAAAAATTTAAATTTGGTAACACAATTTTAAATGGCTTTATTGCGATAAATATTATCAAAAATTGTACAGTCAAGATAATGGATATATATACTTGTATATATATTTATATAACGTATATAAGGATATTAGAACCACATTGATTTTTTCTCTGTGTAATTGCTACTGCGGGGTGGATGGAGTCAAGGGGAAAAAGTGAGAAATGAGGGTGGTAACGAAACGCCTGTCGCTGACGCTAAGTAGTTGGCTCAGACGGCAACTTTGGATTCGGATTCTTGGATATTCAGACTTTCTGTTAGCTCCTTGTTGATTTCACTTGCCTTGCGCTTCGCCATTTCTCTCTCTAGTTTTTTGGGTCTAAAAGTTTGGCGCATTTATTTGCGTAAATGGCAGAACGGCAAATCTTGCTGCATACTTTTCTAAGCATCTTTTCTTTGCTTTTCCTTACAATTTTCGCTGGACTTTAAAGAGCGTTAATTTATGCATGTCATTGGCAGCCAAACAAAATATATGTATGGTTTGGCATAACGCCTATAAAAAAACACTTCAGACGAAAGAAGAGCTCATTTTCCATTTTCACTTGGGCAATGAATAAGTGGATTTGCAGTAATTTGCTGAAATCTACTTCAGCTCGATAGGGTATATTTACAGCTTTGTTTGACAGCTGATACCCTGCGACAGAAAAGGATATATCCAATAACTGGGTTGTATAACTTATTTTTATTGTCAACTATATAAATGTATAAACTGAAAATCTATAGAGACTTGGTGTTTGATCGCCTAAATTATCGAAAATAACAACTGAGTTAAAAAGATCAGATTACTTTCACTATGAATAAAAATAATCTTAGTTTATGTTCGTTTAATATAAAAGAATCGGTCACTTTTTACCGAAAGTTTTCAGTTTACATAAATTATAGGAACATATTAAGGCTTAACATGATTTTAATATATTTATGTTTTATTTATTTATTATATTTTATTAGAGCAAGGGCATGTTTGATAGTCGGTATTACGAGATGTTTCTGTGAAGTCATTTTCCATTCAAATTGACATTGAGCATATTGTAGGCCATCCAACTCGAGTCCTGGAGTCCTCGAGTCCACGAATATTGCCTTGAATTTCAGGACAATACCCGGCAAGTGGCAGCGCCTCCTGTCGCCTGTCGCCATTCGCATTCACATTCCCTTTTATTGCTTTGCACAACATTTACTGGCGAAATGGAAAATGGAAAATGGGAAATGTAAATGAACAAAATGAGCTGCACAGCAACAGACTAAGATAAACAAAAATAGAATTGTCCAATTGCAGGCAAGAGAAGACATTGCTAAGAAGTTGCCGTCGTTATTGCCATTTCCATTTCCATTTCCCTCATCGTTTGAAAATTTATTTTCGATTTCTATTCCCCCGCTTTTCCCGCTTTTTCCGCTTTTCCCGCGTTTCCCTCTTTTCATCCTCATCATTGGCCTATCAATGTGCGCTGTGTTGACAGTGGCAATTGCTTGAATAAATAAAGAAGCCGAATGCCAGAGCGAATGCCAGAGCGAAATCTTCTGGGCAAAGTCAACACACATAGAGAGCCAGCCACTGTAAGACCCACTACAAAACCCACTACATCACCCACTCCCCATTCACATTGAAAAAAGTGCAAAAAATAGTGCATTTCCCATTTTTCATTTTATATTTTAATACAAATTGTAACCTCTTAAAATTATGTATTTAAATCAGGTCAAATCATATACGAAAAATTATATTTATTTTAATGTATAATATATTTATAATAAATATATAATATATCTCCTCATCCTCCTGACTCTATCTGCGTTTTTTTGGGATATTGCGCTTTTGCGCAATTCGGCTTTTGGGTATTTGCGCTTTTAGGTTGAGAAAAGTATAATGTATGATCAGAAAAGTCTAAGGAGATCAGGATAAGGAGATAAGGATGAGGAGATAGGG